TAAGACATGTCCCGAGCATGCACCTAAACCTCCCACTCAAAAGGCTTGGGACTTATGATGATGCTAAAATGTTACAGCGAGACCATGAACACCTAGTTCAACTCTCGATCAACTTGTTCAACTCTAATTAAATAATATTATTTGAAAAGAATCTTATGGAAATCTGGCTTAATCATAGGAAGATTAGAACTATACATTCTTATTCTAACATGTGTTCTAATCAAAATATGGCTCTCTTTTTTATACAAATACGACCATCATTCCTTCAATAAGGTTAAGGCTATTATTTTACTAATTACATAATTAAATTTCTTCTAATATTGACTTGAGCATCGGATGGGCTACATGGTCAACACTCTACGGCTTTGTTTCAAGTAATCTAAGACTTAAGGAGACATAAGCAACATTGGAAAGGGATATCTTCGATACAATTGTGGATTGCTAAAGTAATTTGTTACATAAGCAAAATCAACCATATTGATGAAAAAAAAATAAAAAATCTCTAAGGCAATATGACACGTACTTTGCAAGTTTATGTGACAAAAGAAAAATCAGATATTATCTAGATATTTATCTAAATTCAGGAAGCTCAATTAAACATGTTGATTTTTCAACAAAATTTATATTTCTTGGTTCTAGATAGAATTCATTGGATATCAATTTCTGACTTGAGAGTTTATTCATTAGAAATTAATGTCACGTAACCAAAACTCAAAAGTCTTTCAACTTGTATATCATTTTGATAATAATCTATAAAATGCCTTGAAAATGTTCTTATGACATCGAATAAACTAGCATTGGCATAATTCAAAAACCAATATTTTTTCGCGTTAATTAATTAGGGTACCCCTCAAACATGAACACATGTCCTGTCACAAAAATAACATTATTGCTTCATCGTTGTGAAATGGGTCAAATTGTAGGTGTGAGATATGCCATCAAAATGAACGTATCTCACTCCTTTTTTTTTTTTTTTTTTTTTTTATCCTCGAGTGCCGACTAGAAAATAATCCTAGATTCCAATTTCAATATCTCTATTCCGAATTGAAAATCAAGAATTTATAAAAGTCCCGATTCTTTTATGGAGTAAGCTTCACAGATTTTACACTCTCTCGAAACCCATGAAACCTATGTTGTGTCAATCTTATGATCACGCCTAAATTCCTCCTCTCGAGTGCCGAAATTGACTAGCATCTATTCATTCAATTATTGATCAAGTAACATTCGTTGTGACAAAGTTGATGAATGCAAATTATCAATATGAGAAGGCCTAGGGATTGATTTCACCTTACTCTCAATTATGATTCAACGATTTCCAATTATTCCAGTTAATTTTCTCATATTTAAAAAACAAGAATCCTAATATATTCCTCTCCCCTCTCTCAAGTGTCGGCTAGAAAATAATCCAAGGTTCCAATTCCAATATCTCTATTTCGAATTGAAAATCAAGAATTTATAAAAGTCTCGATTCTTTTATGGAGTAAGTTTCACAGATTTTTTACTTTTTCTCGAAACCCATAAAATCTATGTTGTGTCAATCTTATGATCACGCCTAAATTCCCCTATCTTGAGTGTCGAATTGACTAGCATCTATTCATTCAATTATTGATCAAGTAACTAAAAGCATTAAAATCGTGACACAATCTCTTTTTTTTTTTTTTTTTTTTTTTTTTTTTGTCTAATTTCGAAGTGGACATATTAGATAAAGCCCCTGTTTCGTGAGAGTTAAAATTAGATTTTTAGTAAATTTTGATAAAAAATTTTAAAACGTATGATTGAAAAGTCATGATACCCATGAAATATGAGGTTAAAATTGATTGTTTAACTTTAATTTAGATTAAAATCTAATTTAAATCAATATCAAATGCAATCAAGTTATGGCTTCATATAAATGATTCCCTTTAACAATAAGAGTAATGTTACAAGGAAAGTACTACATGTACATAATTGTCTATATAATGGTGTCCATAATTACACATGGTACTAGATTCAAACTTTAATTCAAATGTCACACTTGCACATCAACAACCTGATGATTGCTACATCACATTATGAATACCATTATGTACAATAATTATGTATAAGTAGAATTTTTCATGGTACAAATACAACAATTTTAATATCATGATTGATAGTCCTCTCACATACAAGTGGTAGGGTCCATAAATTAAAAAATTCTCAGGCCCACGATTGTGAGAGGGGGCTATACGTGCGTACAACATCATTTCCCTAACAATAATGGAAAGATGGAAAGTGATCAAATGATTCCCTTTAACAATAATTGAAAGATGGAGAGTGATCAAACATATTTACAATCTTCTGCATTAGATGCATTCTTGGATTAGGAAATCTTATCTTCGTTTCCTGGTAGAAATTAATTGATAGATTTATCTTGATGGAAATTTTGATTTTATACGTATGTATTTGTTGGAAGAAAAAATAAAAAAATCAACGAAATGCTAAAAATTTTGAATTTGTGCATGGACGTTCTACCATTTGAATATGTAGCATTTATTATTTAGATAAATTGTTTAATTCATGGTATAATAAATGAAAATCATACAAATTATAATAAACAACATAAGGAAAAAGATAGAATAAACGAGTTTTTTGGGTAGATCTTCAATCTTCTTCCTTGATATTGTTCCTCCTTCCTTTTGATATCTTCAATTTTTTTGCCTCCTTCAAATTGTGTAGTTGAATTCTTTAATCTTGCCCCCTTCCATCCTACTTGAAAATAGAGTTTTTAAATGATATTAATAGTATGTTGGGGTTATTGGACAAATTAGGGTTGAGTTGGGCCAAGAAAAGATTTCAAAGATATAAAATCCCGTTTTTCCGCACAGGTGGTGCCACGGCGCCACATTCATTGTTGTTTTCAGCAACTTGGGCGCCACGGCACCCGCTTCGGGTGGAAAAGGTAATATTCGCCTCTTTCAGTATTTTTGTCATAACTTTTTCATCCGATATCCAATTGAGATAATTCAAGATACGTTGGAAAGGTAACTCAAAGGGCTATAACTTTTCTTCAAACATCATTTC